ATCTGAAAAACGCTGAAAAAGCGACTCAACTGTTGAACAAATGTATGACTGATTACACGAGTTATGCAAACGAAAACTTTGTACACATCAGAGCCTATGCGGCGCTCAGAGGGTTGGGAGCCGTCGGTGAAGCTCCGGAGGTCGACGACCAGAAAAGTAAGGTTTTTATATGTTTTTTGAAACAAAATTATAAATAATATAACATTATACTAACATTAATGTTATAGTAATTTACATTAATCTTAACTTAACTTAATTATAGAATTATTAATTACAGTATAATTTACAAACTCTCCATATAGTTCCTTGATGCTTTTAGTATTTATTTAAATATCAATTAACTAATATTATATTTTTAGAAAAACTATACAAAAAACAATGGCTTAAAGAGATTGACATAAAAAAGGAAAATTACGAAAAGTTTGTTGAAATTGAAGAGAAAGAAGATCTCATTACTAATGCAACAAATATATAAAACTAAATTAATTTTAATATAAATAATATAGTACTTATTATTATTCTATATTTATTGTATTAAATTGTAATTCATGAATAAATATATAAGACTAATTGGACATCAGCATGTTTAAAGTTTATTCATAATGGTTATAAGATTGAGATTTTTTAATTTTAATTAGATTATTTTTGAAATTTTTAATTAAACATTAAAACTGAATTTTTTTCAACTTTCAAATTTTACAATATTATGCCTATTTCATTATGCTAATTATTATTTCTGTTATAATTGTTAATTGTACTATCCTTCAAATACAACATAAACTTTAATTTATAATTTTTTTTGCTGCATAAGGAAAATTTTATAAAACAAGTATTGTTGGAACCAGGCAACAAATAGATATTTAAACCCATAAAAATTATAAGACATTTAAAAAATAATATTCGTGATTATTTAATAAAGATTGATTATATAAATTTAATTCTTGTAATAGAAAATATAATTAATTATTTCAAACACATTTATCAATCCTTAATAGTATACGTGTATTACAATCAAAATTATTCATGCATAAAGGACAATTAATAAGATAAGTATTTTGTTTTTATAATACTAATTTAATTTGTATCAGCATTTTGTTTTAAATTAATACTAATTATACTAATTTAATTAAACTTTTTAAAATATAACAAATTAAATACGTTAATATAAAGACAATAAATTACAAAAGATAGGTATTAGTACATACATGTAAAAAATGTATATATTAGTACACTCCAGTAAATTATAAAATAGTTTGCATAAAAACTTTATAGTTTAGTTATACTTATACATAGTGTAGTTAGTGCAAATTACCTCTTTAGCCTAAAGATCTGTTTATAATATTATTAATATAAATATCCAGAATAATACAATATGAAAAGGTCTGTATCCATAAGTTGACTACATTGTAGTTCAAAATAATGTTTATTAGAAAACAATATTTCCCGTTATTTTTTAGCAATCAATTATCTATCGATGAGTCCATACGACTCTCAGGCGATGTCTTTGAAAACGTGTTGCAAACCAATGATGTGGTCAAAGCGTTGGCAGATATTGAGCCCTATTGTGAGCACAGTATATATCACTGTTATATTCGTTCATTATATCTAATTATGACTGCAATGACATCCGTGGAAAAGGTTTTATTTATACAATCATCATTTTTATTTAAAATTTTATAACAGTTATTCTATTAAATTTAAAATTAATTTTAAAATTATCATTTACATTTGAACAGAAAGACATTGATTATGCTCATCAAGCTGTAAATGATTTAGCAAAGTTATGCAATAAATATTGGAAAACAGGTCTAATACTTACCATAATTAAAATACTTAAGACACCAAATTATAATAAATATACTGATGGTAAGTGTTAAAAATTATAATTATAAATAAATAAATTATAAATATAAAGTTACTTTACATTTTCATAATGAAATTACTTAGTTAATTATGATTACTATAGTTGAAGTGCATGCTGAGTTACTGTATACATACAGTCTCGGACTCAGTGGTCTAGTGTTGGCCATTGAGACCAATAATATCTATGCACTAATTAAAGTTGCCTATCGTTTGCAAAAATATGTCAAACATTTGAGGTAATATTAATTTTTAAATATATTAACAATTATATGTTTACGATAAATGCTATTTAGTAACAATTAATGTTACCCTCAATTAAAGTTACTGTAAAACAATATTGAAAACTCGTTCCCAATGGGAGAGCGAAACCTCGAGAGTGTATTTTGAGAGCGCCGTACGATTGGGCAGTGGTTTTGCCCATTTGGCCATCAGTAATATACCGCCTAAAATTTTACGTATAATCAACTTTTTGGGCATACGGGGTGTGGAAAGTGTTGGTTGGGGACAAATTAACAAGGTGGCATTTGAACTACCAGGTTTGTTTGGTCAATTGGCCAGATTGTTTAAATTACTATACTGGACGTACGCCGATACACACGCCGGTATCGGACCCGTAAACGCCGAGATATGCGGCCAACTAATGGACACTGAACTGGGAAAGTATCCGAAAGTAATTACATGATTATATATATTTTCATTCAATTAATTAATTACTTATTCAGATAACTAATTACTACTTTTTACATAAATATAATCAAATGTTGCAGAATATAATGTTAAATATATTTGGGTCAAAATTGGATCAAATAAACGGTAAGATCGATGTGGCCATAGACTCGTACCACAGACTATTGGGTGACCCGCACGTCACGCCACGACGATTTATTTACTTTGAGCTAACGTGGTGTTATGCGCTGCAATCTGATTGGCCAAGATGCATTGATTACGCCGAGAAATTTCGTACCAACAGCTTTTACACTCCGGCCATCGCTACGTATATGGAGGCTGTGTTTCGGTACACGGAATGGACCATAACTGAAGAGCCCGTGGCTAAAGACAAGGCTACAGAATTGTTCAAGTAGGTTCTTAGACATTCAATTAAGGTAATTTAAATTAACAATCACATTTTGTGGTAAGACTGGTGCCGACACTTCGTATACGACATTTGGGCAAAACTATTACACCGGAAAAGGTGGCGGTTGTGAGGGCTCAGGATTATATCAAAAACGGGGAACTCTTGGTTTTGCCGGACGTGGTTTGTTGCTAAAGTTTAAGTTTTACCTTGAATAGTCCCAACACATAAGTCCTATTTTCAGTTTTATAATTGTTTGAAAGTTATTTAGAAAATTTAAATCTTAAAATATATTTATTTATGTTTTACATATTTACAATTTAGGCCATATTATATGAACTAAACTATTTGTCGCTTATAAGAGGCGATACCGTATTATTGAACAAATTTATGGAACGCATTACTGAATGCGAATTGAAATACCAATGTGACATAGGTACTTTTTGTGAGGCAACGTATATTGACATGCATAAATTCTTAAATGAACATTAATAAATGTTGTCAAATTAATAGACTCATCAGACTATCTGGATAATTATCTGATAGCTATATTTTATAAGGGAGTTGTGTTTAGACTAATGTCCGACTTTAAAAAGGCGACCGAATGTCAGCAAATTATTATTGATAAGTAAATGATTGTTATATAAACAAAAATTACATAGTAAATAAATATTATAATTATATATTTCTAACAGCGAGTCGAGAATTGGGGGACAGTTTTCACTGCCGGCTCAGGCGGTCCTCGAAATGGGTTTAATTGAATACGAGATAAAAAACACTAAAAAAGCAATCGATTTGCTTAACAAATGTATTAACGAATACACGGGTTATCTGAACGAGAATTACGTTCACATTAAGGCGTTTACAGCCCTCAGAGGTCTGGGAGTGTGTAATACAAAACAGGCCGACGACGAGCTCCTCTGTATGTTATTAGATATGTTTGCATTAATTCTTGAGTGTTTATATTTTAATCATAATTTAATTAATATTTAATAATATTTGTCATCCCATTTACTTTAGTGGATGAATATAAGAAACAATGGCTTAAAGACATAAACATTGATCAGAAAAGTTATGATAAAGTGGTAGAGATTGAAGACACGAATTAAATTTAAGGGAAAAATAAATGGTTGTGACAATTGAAATAATAAATTTAGATATTTCAAAACAACAAATTACACATTTTGGAATTTTAATAAAGTATTTCACAATAGCATTTGCAATTATTAATTTATAACAGTACCAGTATAACAATTAACAATACCATGGTTAACTGCATTTAATGCATAGTATTTCTACTATTAGCATAACATTTATTTGATGATTCAATAAAAATAATTTTCCACAAAAATATAATAATCCCAATATTAATGTCCTTCTAATTATA